CTTCCATTTCTTCGACACGATTTTCACCCTGCCCATCACTCGGACTTCCATATCCTCTCCACAACTCATATTGTTTCGTATCCGCTGCTTGACTCTCCACAGCGTGGAGCAAAAAGGTTCGCATCCTATATTTTTCACAATTTTCCTTCCTTTCTTCCCTACTTGCAGTCCACCTCCCATCATATCAGAGTGGGATTACCAGATCGTTGTAATCCCGGTCCTTACCTACAACACACTGACAACTTCGTTTTTGAGATCTCTTGAGGACTCTTGATGTAAGATTTATTGGTTAGCTTTCGCTGTGATAACAGCTTCTTCAGACCTACAAGACATCAAGCATATTACAATACTTCAAACCTAGGAGACATCAACATAATAAACATTAACTGACCAGGCCGATGCTCTCGCTAATGGGATACTCTGCAAAGCACAATTCAAGACCACATCAGACTATTGTACAAACCAGGACAACAACGAAACGAAACATCACCTAATGAAATAAAAATGCATTAACTAAAATTGAAAAAATAATAAAATAAAAATGAAAGAAATAATACACTGACAACGATGTACGTTGGTAAGTAATCTAGCTGAGCTCCTGCCTAGTAGAGTGCTTTCACAATCGAATTCGAATTGTCCAGTTATTTAGGCCACATCACCTTGACCTACCGACCTCTCGGAAATTTTTCTAGTAGTGGATACAATCTTCACTAGTCAGTTGTACATTGACAGTCTGTGATCATGACGTCACGCAAAAAAAAACGAAAAAGTGCGTAAACACGATGTTATTGTGGATGTTGCTGCGCGCGTAGGAACGCATAAACGCAATAAAACATGTGTGGACCGGCTCTTCGAATCAATTTTGTACTTTAGCGAAAGCCACATAAGCTGTTTTCCTCGCTACGAATACAACCTAGTTCGAGCAGATAGCCAAAATTTCAAGAGGATGGTGAGTTATTTTACGCTTTTTAGAAAGCGATTCCCGCATCACTATAAACAAATTAGCTTTCAGAAAGTCTTTGCCCTAACAATCTGCATTTACCTCACACAAGTGGCTCTCGCGTCTGAAGCAGATGTCCTTGGTTTGCCTTTCCATTTTAGTTTCAGCAGATAATCTACTACTACTGATTATTGAACTTCACTTACAGAAGCTCTGAAAAAACAGGAAACCCTACCGGAAAACGCGAATCTAACCGATGAGGAGCTCGTTGAATATCTCAAGACGCACCAGACACTTTTTGAGGTAGCGCATAGTCTACCGTGATCCCATATAAGTTCCAAACAGTTCAGTCTACTTGCAGGTTAATAACGAGAAAGTAGACCACATCTACGAAGAAGCTGCGATGCATCTGACTCCGCTACCGCAGAATCAAGTTTGATTGTCTTACATGCCGTAACATCGGAATTGTTTCAAACTTAAATAAATTAGCTAAAGAGACTTCTGAGAGAACTAC